TGTTGGTAAATCTTTTATTTTTCAGACTTGGATGTGTGGTGGACAAATTCTTATTCATCCTTGTTCACATGTGGCTCATATATTTCGTAAAGAAACACCGTATAAATTTTTAGACAATGAAAATATATTTGTTACAATATTTAAAAATTATAAACGAGTAACATTAGTTTGGCTAGATGAATATAAGAGTTTGATATACGCTGTTAATCCTGGTAACTAGAAATATTCTATTTAAATCTAAATATTCTTCGGAAAATAATTAACTTTTCCAGATTTTTCTTTCTTCTCTTAGACATAAAACGTTTGGATGGTGGTGATGTATCCTCGCGTAGTCAACTACGAAAAAATTTAAATTGTACAACATTTCGCCATTATATAGAAACATTTCAATTAAAAAATTTTCCATTTTCTTATCAATGGATTGGAACAATATCTAATAGTGATCATCAATGTTTGGATTCAATGTGTGGACCAGATATATCAAAAAGTGTCAGAGGTTTTGTATCTGTGCAAGCCTGTCATATGGATGGTGGAAATCAAATATTTATGTATACAACGACGAAGAAACTTCAATTTGATGAATTATGTTTGGAGCCAGATGATGAACATACAGGAAAGCAAGAAGAACGAAAAATCTTATTTACAGTTTGTGAGGACAATCGACAAGAACAAAATTGGCTTTATAATGAAGAGGTAATCTATGAAGTTAAGCGAAAATAGTAGAGTTATGTTGCTTTTTTGTTTACTTTTAGACAAATCAACTTGTACATGAAAAAACACAAGATTGTCTCGATGTAATGACAGATACAAGCGTTGTTATCGGTAAGAAAAATTTCAATAATAGCATATATTAAATTTAGAATAATAGATCAATGTATTAACTATGTTTTCGTTTGATAATGATGATGGAGATCGTACTACTCTAGATTCAAATTGTTTTATATAATTCACTTTTCTCTTAGATAAATGTAACAGTGAACGTCAGTTACAGAAACGGTCATTTGGAAAAGAAGTTGAATTAATTTTATGAAAAATGTGTATGTTATCAATTTTTGGAAATTAACTATAGAAGTGATATTCACCGCATACATTCCTCAATTTTTTCTTTCATTTTTGAGTTGAATCTCTTTGTGATATTTATTAATCAAATTGATGTGCTTTCGAGACAAAATAAAACAGCAACGAATTTTTAATTCGTCATTTTCAAAATTTTTGTGTTTCTAGGAAATTTACATTCTTTCTCCATGTTATATTTGCTACGTTTGAATGATATTTGTTTTATAAAAAACAAAGTTAATAACGTTTTTTTTTTATTAAAGTGTATCTCGTATGACACATACATAATAAACTATTTATTTTAACTGATAATTTTGATTACTCATCGTTGAGATGTAATTTGAGTGTGGTATATTTCTAAAATATTCTTCATATTAGTTTGAGCATTAGATAGCTTGTCCAAGACTACCACGCGACCACTGTTTCTGAGATTCGAACTTCGTATGTTTGAAGTACATTGTTTGCCCACTAGTCGACTGAGTCACGGTGCTCAGAAATAGTTTGTTTCTGTAAACGTAACTTCATTTCTGGAAGTAATAATTGTGAGTTCAAAAAATATATATATTGAACAGATGTAATTAGTGCCTGATGCTTATTGTCGTACAAAAAGTAATGTTTTAATGTTTCATACTTATTATATAATATAAGTTTGTGTGATCCATATTAATCAGATGATTAACCAGTGATAAACAGTTCCACCAGTAACAAGACTTCATTCAAATATTCAGCTGTACTGTGTTCGGTTTATATGATTATAAATAAGTAACAGTATGTCAAATATCGACCAGTAGAACCATTTATGATACAAAAAGCACAGTGAAACGCATTTTTCAAAATGTTCCCTAATCTGCTATCCAAAAAGATTTGCAAAAACTACTTTTGTCGATGATCTATCAATTATATTATATTTAAAACACTTCTATTAACTTTCGCTTGTACACTGTTACTGTATCACAGATCAAAATCTTCGTGGACGCGACAGTGTACAAGCGAAAGTTAATAGAAGTGTTTTAAGTATAATATAATTGATAGATCATCGACAAAAGTAGTTTACACCCACGAACATCCAGAAGAAAGCGTAAGAACACACAAAAAAAGTGTCCTAAATTCATCTCCAGGTTGTGCTGAACCTACTGATAGGGTGAGCGTGAGGTACCGGCGGGTTCGGAACAGCCTGGAGATGAATTTTAGTACAACACCCCTAATTAGGGTGTTGTACTACGCTTTATTTAAAAAGAACGAAGATTTTGTATATCGTATCCGAAGCGCGTCTGTCTGACAGCCATGTATTCAATGTCATTTGACCAAGAACAAAGTTAACTTCTGACCAGCTGGTAAATTATCCATCTGGTCTATTCTAAAAAAAGCAACATAACTCTACTATTTTCGCTTAACTTCATAGATTACCTCTTCATTATAAAGCCAATTTTG